GATGACTTCCACCATTGATGGAACTATGAATCCTGAATCATGTTCCCAAATTCTACAGGTAAAGCCAGGACGTATGCTTGTAAACTGAAGCTCAAGAGAAAATGGGTCATTCAGCAAGACAACGATCCAAAACACACAAGTTATGACTAAAGGATGGATAAAGCAGAAGAAAACGAATGCTTTGGAATAGCCAAGTCAAAGTCCTGACTTTAATCCCATAGAAGTGTTGGGGAAGGATCACAACATCCCTGAATCGAAGCTGTTCAGCCAGGAGGAAAGGGGTAAAATTTCTCCCAGGAGATGTGCAGGACTGGTCACCTATTAAAGGTAGTCCTTAAGTTATGACCATTTGTTCAATGATCTTTCAAAGCTGTGCCACATTAAACAATAGGTATTGTACTTACAAGTTCTCAAAGGTTCTGGTCATTGCAGCACTCATGTCACATGACTATCTGGGTGCCAGTCTCACAATTACATCACAGTGATTCACAGTCACACTTTGCAATTTCTGACATTTCCTGCTGGCTTTTAGACATCGGAAGTTGCAATCAGATGAGGCCCTTGCTTAACTGTCTGTGTAGGTTTTGTTTAATGACAGCAACCAGGAGTGCTGAAGTTGCCATTGCTAAGAGCCATGGTCATGGGGACATTGCACACTTAGCGGCAGAGTTCCATTTCCCATTGTCATTGTAATCTGAGGACTATCTGAACAGTATTGGAAATGCCATTATTGCTGCCTAAAAGGTTCTCTTTAGGAAATAACACACGTTATTGTATGCAAAGGTTCATATACTTCGCCACAACAAATATGTAGCTTTGGTTCATTTTCCTTAAGAAATCAATGAACAAGTATATTGCTTTTTACTAATTTGTTTAATTGGGTTCTCAACTAGTTTTAGGATTTATATGGAAAACAGATCACGTTTTAGGTCATATTTATGCAGAAACATTGAAAATCCAGAAGAATTTACAAACTTTTAAGCAACACTGTACAGTTGTAAATGTTTTGTACATTTGGAATAAAATAAAGTTTACTTTTTTTACTTCTTTGAAACAGAATTGCTATTCATTTTTGAAGAGATTATCGGACAGTGGGAAAGTTCAGTTCTTTCCTGGATTCACAACAACCTAATAGGGACCAGCTGCAGGACTGGTCAGGCCTTTTACTATGATGTCCCATAGCCTGGCGGAATCTGGAGGTAGGGAGTCACTTTGAACATGTTCCACAGTAGGAACTGATCATCCAACCTTTTCTCTCCTCATGCTCTTCAGGACTAATGCAGCTCAGCACCTCTGTGCTATTCAGTAAAATAGACTGGACTTATTCCTGGCTTCTATGCTGCCCAAATGCCTCTTCTTTAAATGAATCAACTTCTATTAAACCATGCAACTTTTAAAGTAGCTGTGCTATTTTGCCCCTCAGTCATGTGCACAAAATTGGGAGGGGGAGGGGGGAGAGCGCCACGACATTTTTATTAAAAGGAGACAAATGCTGTGCTTACATGAGGACCAAATCCCACCTTCTACATAATTTTTGAAGTAAGGCCAGCATTAATTCCCATAAATTCCCTTCACCCATTTATAGGACTGTCAACACTTGCATTTTGTTTCAAATTTGTTCCAAAGTGGTACAGTAATGAACTGAATTCTACCCTAAACCTGCCCAATTCCCCAGGACATTTCTGATTTCTTCATTGATTGAAATAAAGAAATGAAAATTATCAGCAATGTGCAAATCCAGTTTGAGCGCTAACTCCCCAACCCCACCCTCATTCCATCATACAATACAATAACACAAAGGAAACTCAACCTTTTGCTCCCTAAATCCCTACCTGGTTTAGGGTTTTGGTAGGATCTCGTTCAGGCTACGTGTATCTGACTGCTTGCCCACCCGCCGGAGGGGGGAGGGTGCAGGGAGAGTAAAATAAAGGCTTTTCTCATTGCCCAAAGTCCTCCTACAGTAGAACAGCCCCAAACCCAGAATGTCCTGACATTGCCATGGCCAACCTCCACGTGGGCTCCTGCCAGAAGAGGCCACTTCTGTGCTGCACAAGAAATATCCCTTTGAACAGAGGCATCAACATCTTCATCTGTTGGATTGGGAAAAGCCATATCGGCCATTGCTTGCTAATTTCCTATTCTCCGCATGTAAAGGAGACAGGAATAGAAATGGGGGTGGTGAGACAGTCCAGATCCAACCCTGCACAAAGGGAAGGATTCTTGGGGTGAGGAAACAACACCTCGCCTCTATTTCAAGAAATGTTTGAGCGTGACAGTTTAATTGGAAAAAGACAAAAGAACAATATGAAACATATGATAGATATGACTCAAGTACCATACATTTTTCCCCTCCTCTGTATCAACATTTTTACATGAACACAACAATTAGTCCAATTAATAGAGGGGCTTAAATATATTTAAATCATGTAAAATATTTTCAAAGTTGCTAAAAGGTACAATGCTTGGCCAATGAACAATACAGGAATATTTGTACACCTCATTATACAAAGAGACAACAAATCAAATCAGTCGTACAACAGCATTTTGTTTGGCCTTCCTGCCACACAAAAGGCAACCCTTTGCCCTGCCAGACCTTGGAAAGAAAACCGTTTGCTCCCTCTTCTGAAAAAGTGAAGAGTCTATTCATGACGTCAATATGATTTTGTCCTAACTAGTTCACCTTTAGTATTAGTTAAAATCATGCTGGTAACTTTTTATGCTCAGTTAAACATGTAAATGCATCAAATTAAAATTCCATGTTTTAAAAATGTCTGATACTAGAATGCCAGAATTTCAAGGATCACGTTCATCATTCCTCTCACTTTCTATATGTGCCGGAGTGCATCTTGAAGGCAGATAGGCTGGCAGGCATTAGAAGTACCATCCTTGGAGATCCTGCAACTGGACACGACCTGGAGAATTTTGTGGGTTTACACCCAGAGTGATGGCAAGTGCTGGATACCAAAGAACCAACGGTTAGTTAGAAAGGAAAGTGATGGCAGCAGCATCAAGGGTGGCAACTTCTCACGAAGAGAGATTCCTAAGCTCCCCAAAACACAGTTGCATGATAAATCAGAAGATCACAGTAATAATCCAGGCCCGACATGATCTGGGCCTGGCTACCTTAACTGGTCTAGGGCAAAGCCAGCAATGCAAACTCCACTTGTTTGCAGCAGAAGCCAACATAATCAGTTTCAGCAGAATGTGAGTGTGGGGGTGGGGGTGTAGAAGCTCCACCAGAAGCACAAAAGCAAGCAAAGCAACCCTGAATTCCACTGGCTGGGCTTTTCCTCCTCCTCCTCCTCCTCCTCCTCAGAAGAGGTAGTTCGGCCCTGGAGCTGGAGGTGAGCCGGGCGTGGAAGAGTCCTCCGTCTGGGGGCACGTGGCACTCTAGCAGCAAAGGAGTGAGATGGGCACTGAGGGGCAGTCTCATTTCGCAGCATTCTGGTGATATCTGTGTCGCCAAACCTCTTGTATCTTTTTGCACCACTTATGAGCATTCCCACTTGGGTCCATCAGGTAGTACGTCCTGTTAGGCTGTAAGTAAAGAAGATTTAGCGCCTGCTCATTTCATCAGCCAGTTAATATAGTGCCAGCAGCAGGTTTGGCTGTAGGCATAAGAATTCTGTGCCAGTTTCTGCCCAATGGGGCTTCCCCTCTACATACCATCCAGTGTCCTACGGCAAATGCACAGGACTGCTCCTATTTTCTGCTGCCACTAAGAGGAAATGGCTGCAGACGCCAAGCTCAGAGTTGCTGGCATTTGGGCCTATTTTGTATCCCAATTAGGGATTTCTTGCAGCTCCTGTTCTCAAAATAGGCTAAATAGCCCGCCTCCCCCGCTTTAAAATCACTTGGATGAACATCCCAGCACATAATTTGCAATTAATGAAAACTCCACTTGAACTGTCTGGGTAGGTCACTTACTGTGTGGACAAAAAAGGTCTTGAAGTTCTTTGCTTCTGGTCGGAGTTCGAGTGACCAAGGAATCTCCCCTTTCAGGACTTTGTTGACAGGATCAACATAGTATAAGTGTGGCCCTTCCGTGAGCAGCAGCTGTCGCCGACGGGCAAACAGCCCCTGTGGAGAAGCACATGGCACCCAGAGCCCATTAAAGGCTTTAAAACTTGATCAGTACATACAATTCCATGGGATGCTGTTTGGGATCTTATCTTCTAGCTGCAGAAAATAAAGGCCTCACAAAAAGCTATTGTTATGCCACTAGTATAACAAATTCCCTAAGTCAGAAACTGAAACAATTCAATGCTTTCCAAAAAGCAGAGCTGAACATTAAAGCTGGATTTAGACTTGTCTGCAACTGTTACATTGCGAAGGGGCTGATGTTGTAAGCACAGGTTGCAGATGGTTGTAGACAGCCCAATGCACACACCTCCCAAATCTCAACTATAAGTTGTGTGATGTGCCTCCCGGATGCTGTTTGGTTGATCCCACTTCCTGCTGGGCACATTGTTGTTTGAGTATCTCTATCCATAAAATTAACATTCACAGAAGTATAAATGCAACAGCCAGGCAACCGTCTCCGAATGAGAACACGGACATTCCTTGATGTGCACTGACACAGAAGTCTCGATTGCCTTGCCAGAGCTCCTGTCTCACAGGAAAAGCCCTCATTCTCTGCCCCTAGGCCAAGGGACTAGGGCCACCAAAAGGCTGCCCATCTCCCAAGTCAGGATGTTAACAGGGTCTGATGGGAGTAATCATCTGTCTTTTTTCTAGAAAGCTTTAGGAAGAGATGGAAAAGGAAACCCAAACCCGCTTCAGGATGGAAAGCTGTGGCTGTTGCATGTTTGCCTTAGTTACAGTTTATGACAGTTTTCATTTTACTGCATTCCTTGTTTGTAAATTGCTTTGGCCTTTTTGAGTAGAAGGACCATTGACTTACCTGAAGGGTCGTTTTCAGGGTGCTGCAAAGGAGAGTCCAAGCAAGGGTTAAATACATAAATACAGCCAAACTCCCAGAGCTGAATTGAAACTTTAAGCCTCTGGTGCTGATTATCCCCAGATTTTCAATGAAGACGTGGAACTGTTGCGTGCTGAGAAGTCCAACATTGGATCAACTGGAAACACAACTGGAACAAGTCCAACTGGAACATCCAAAGAAACAAATGTGATAAGAGCGGAGCCAGACCCCAGGGTGGGGTGGACTCCCCTTACCCTTCAGGTAAGTCAATGGTCCTTTTCCAGGGCGCTGCTCAGGAGAATCCAAGCAAGGGACATACCCAAACTAAATGTCACTAGGGCGGGAAGCAGAAGCAGTCAGGGTCTCTCCGATAGAATGAATACGCTGCAGC